ATTTTAAAACTCAGCATGTCTCAAACTGAGCTCATCTTTCTACAAAACTGTCCCCCTTTTCCAACTTTCCTAGTATGGTCAAGGTTACCACTCCCTTTTGTCCAGGTTTGCATCTGGTATCATACTTGGTTCCCGTCTCTTATACACCTCCAATCAATAGCTAAATGTTGTTAATTTTCCCTTCATCACATCTCTCCCATATACCTCCTTTTCTCCTCTCACATTGATGCCATCTTGGTGCAGGCCCTTAATTACCTGATTCCTGGACTATTGCAATAGTCTGCTGGTGGGTTTACCTGCCTCAAGTGTCTCTTCATTCCAGTTCATCTTCCACTCAGCTATCAAAGTGATTTTCTTAATCACAAGTCTGAGTATATTTCCCCCTCCTGATGCAATAAACTCCAATTACTCCCTATTACTTCCAGAACCAGGTATAAAAACCCCTTTGTTGAATTTCAAAGCCTTTAATAATCTGGCCCATTCCTACACTTCCAGTATTTTTATACCTTATTCCCTTCCATGTAGTCTACAATGACACTGGGAAAGCGGGAGAGTGTCATCCATTATCCAAAACCCATGCAAGCATGCCGTCATGAAACTGATGTAGAATACTGATGGAACTTCTTTGGGTAACCACATTTTGCCATGATTTTCCATGAGCTCTCATGACTGACAGTATTAAAGGCTTTGGTCAGTTCAGTGAATGTTGTTTACAAACCTGCTCTGCTCCTGACATTAATCCTGTAGTTGGGCAGCAAACACCATATTGGCCTGTGCTTAGCTCTTTCTGAAGCCACATTGGCTCTCAGGTAGATGACCATCTTCCAGGTGAAGGATCAGCCTATTAAGGAGGATTCTGGCAAGAATTTTGCCAGCAATGCCTAAGAGAGAGGACCCTCCTTCTCACTCTACCCTTTTCCCCCTCCCCACATTGTTACAGGACAGTCTATTTTCTTTTCTTTTATAGAGATGGACAATGGAGGGACATCCTTGAATGCCTAGGAGATAACCTCCTCTTGCCATATAACCCAGAAAATTTCTGTCAGCTTTTGTATGAGCAATAGACTCCCTGCCTTATAAATCTAGGCTGGTGTAGAATACCAGGCACTTTGCTAGATAAGAGGAGCTTAATGGCACCCCAAAACCTCTTCTGTTGGAAGTTCAGCTTGAGAGGGATTGACGTCATCCTGAAGTATATGGTCAATGGCTTCAGCACTGATTGATTGATGATAATCTCCTGAGAACACTATGGCGGTTTTCAGCCTATCTCTCCAGGATCTTGTTCTTATCCCTTATCAATATGGCTCCATCAGCGCTGAGTAGTTGAGATGGGTCTTTGGCCCATAAATAGCCTTTAGGACATCTATCTGCATAGAACTCAATTTCATCCGCCTGCGTCTCTCTAAGCATTGATCGTACTTTACTTTGGATGGAGTTAAATGCTGCTTTCTTAGAAATGGATGAACTATCTTCCTGGCAAACCCTGTGGAGTTCTTGTGTTTCATTTAGCAGCTTCTGAATTTCCCCATCATTTTTGTCAAACCAGTCTTGGTGTGTATGATGCTCTTGCATTTTCCCAGTCACCGTGGAAGTGAAGCAGGCATGTGTACTTATTCTCATGCTTTTTAGCTTGATGTTTTCAGCAATGTTGTTGGATGCCTTCAACAAGAATGAAAATGGCATCAAGAATAATTTGAGACATGGGAGACATTGCTATAGGATTGCCCTAATATGGGGTGCCCACGTCAAAGAAGGCACTGTGTGCTATGAACAAAGCAAAATTGCAGTAGCTTAAAAGAAACACGAGAGGTGCAAATTTAGAGCCATCTCCACTCCACATGTCATGTGGACAACCTGTGGTAGAGCCTTGTGAGCTTATATTGGTCTGATCAGCCACAATCGAGATACCATGCCTTGACCCCATCAGTATGATGTCATTTTGGTCCTCTTTGAGAATGAAGGACAACAACCAACCAACAGTGACACTGGCCTCCTTGCTGCTCCTCACATAAACAGTTTCATTTCTTTTTTTCTTTTTCTTTTCTTTTCTTGTTTTTTTTTGGTTAGGCAGTGGGGTTAAGTGACTTGCCCAGGCTCACACAGCTAGTAAGTTTTTTTAAAAAAATGTGTCTGAGGCCGGATTTGAACTCAGGTCCTCCTGACTCCAAGGCTGGAGGTCTATCCACTGCACCACCTAGCTATCCTTGCAGTTTCATTTCTTGACTGCATGTTTTCCATGTCTATTCCCCATCCTGTGTTTCTCTGACTTTTTTCAAGTTTCAGCTAATATCCCGCCTTCGACAAGAAGCATTTCTTTGTCCTAATCTTAAAGTTGGTTGTTTTTGCTCATTGCCTTCCAAAGAGGACCAAAACAACATAACTATGTTGAGTCAGAGGTCTGGGTGTCCAACTGTGGCTGATGAGACCAATATGAGCTTGATAAGTTCTACCATAGTTTGGGCACAAATAATTCATAATCCTAAAATAATTTTTTAAAAATCACTTTGCTTATACTAGAAAAGAAAAAGGCAAGATATAAGAAAAATGAAAGCAAAGTTATCAAGTCTCACACAGTGTCTATTATTCACACTAATTTAACAATTATCCCAATAACTTAAACATAATACAAATATGTCACTGGATCTGTGATCATCTGTCCACCTGAAAAGGTGTTCTCTGTTTAAGTTTAGAGGGGCTAGATGGTGCAATGGATAGAGTGCTGCACCTGGAGTGAGGAAGATCTGAGTTCAAATGTGATCTCAATCACTTACTAAATTTGTGGTCTAATGTTCGTCATTTAACCTCTGTTTGTCTCAGTTTCTTCACCTATAAAATGAGGATAATTGTAACACCTGCCTCTCAGGGGTGAGGATCAAATCAGTTAATAATTATAAAACAGTGCTTTAAAGTAAGCACTATATAAGTCTTAGCTATTACTATTAAGCAAATTAATTTTTAAATTTCATGAATGAAAGTTTGAACTATATGTGATGATGAGTATATTATCACGTGTGTGTGTGTGTGTGTGTATGAACATATGTATATGTATGTGTGTGTATTTATATTCCTTATAGGAATTTTATCACAGAAGTTGAAAAGAGTTAACAGTGCCTTGTAACATATTTTGGTAAGAAGATATCATTTGTTTAAGAAAAGAAGACCAATTTTGTGTTCATTTTTGTAAGATGTTTTCTCTGTGGTCTTCTCAACATAATTGCGTGTCAATCTGCTCTCTGACTTCCTTTTTTCTATTGCACAAGTGTAAGGTAGAATGAGAAAGGGCAAAAGAGAAGTGGAAGTGTAAGTCCTTTTATAATAATTTAGAAGAATCATGTTATGTTAAAAATATATAATTTATTTTCTTTATTCTTTGGAAGACTACAAGAATCTTATTGTTGATTTTACCAGTCTCCACAGTTCTTCCTTTAGATCTTGCAATACTTTTGGGACACCATATTAGCACTCTGGCATTCCATTTGAATCACATTCTTCCTCCATTACTGGTCTGCTTCCTTTTCTGGTCCTGTGTCCTCACCAGAGATGTGTTATAAACTACTCTGTAATGCAGTGGTGAACCTAAACATGTTTAGTTAGAGAATTAGAAAATGTCTATTATGCATGAATACATATTTTCCTAATGATATTGTCTGTGTCCATGGACAAATTGTACAATGTTTTTTAAAGATAGGATTTTTTGTTTTGTTTTGTTTTGTTTTTGACAGTATCATAATTTCCCCTAGAATCCTTCTCCCTCCTGCTGTTTGTGAGCTGTTTCAGGTATTAGATAGTATGTCTTAAGACAATAAAAGAGGTAAAAAAGTCAGCACAACTGATTCAGTACATTGAAAAAGTAAAAAAAGCATGTGCATTGTGTAACATCTGTGTACCTCTACCTCTGCAAAGGTATGAATTGAAAGTGTCCTTTCATATCTTTCTTTCAAGCCACAGTTGACCTTTATAATTTTGCAACATTCATCGTATTTGTGTGTGTGTGTGCGTGTGTATTCTTTACATTTTTATCATAAAATCTTTATTTAAATGGAAATCAGGCATGTTGTTTAGTACTTACTGATGTTTTGGTTGCTTTTTGGGGATTAAATAATTTATTATTTTTTCCTCACTTTGTTTATTTTTCCTTCCTTGAGATAATTTGAAAATTGTTTCATGTTTGTCTTATCTTCCTCCTATTTCTACTGTATGTAATTGGCCAGATTTTGCTCTTCTTTTAGACTTTATCTGCAGGAGGTGACTTTATGTTAAAAAAAAAGTTGGCAGAATGGGTATGTTTTTTAGGTCGATACTATTAAACTATTGAGGGAGAAGTATCTCGGTGATGGTGGGCTTTTTAGAAAGTTGGTTCACAATGACCTTCTCAGATCAGGGTTACAAGGTGCATTCTCCTTGAATTAAAATGAGAACTTTTAACTTTTTCTCCCCTTTCTCCTCTCTCTTTACATAGTCATTATGTGTTGCAAAAATGATTCACAGTTATATACTTTTATTTTTTAATGAAAAAGTAACAATTGCGGAAATTGAAGTTTACCTTTATGTCACTTTGAGCCTTATCAGTGACTGCCTTTCTCTTTATGGTCGTTATGGAGAAAGACTTTATATCAATGTGTGTATGTGTGAGAATTATTATTATTAGTAATAATACTAGGTCGTATTTATATGGTACTTTATAGTAATAATTAGGGAAGGAAACCTTAAAACTTTTAGTTTCTGAGGATAGCATTATTTTTCAAGCAATTAACTTAGTCCTGCTTTTCTTGACATATGTCAAAAGTTTTTAGGAGTAAAAATGTAAAATTTTCTTTCAAAGGGTTCTTTTAATATGTTACTGTGTTGTACTTTTCTTTATCTTTTAATATACTGAGAATGGTTGATAGTTTAATATAGACTTTTTCTTTTTTCTCTTTTTAATATGGAATCAGTTGTGAAAGCAAGTCAGAATACAATATTAACTGCATTTTTTGTTTTTGTTTTTGTTTTCCTAACAGCTTTTTTTGAAACGGTGGGGTTGTTGGAGTGGTTGGATTTTTCCTGGAATTGAGTGAGAAATTCAGAAGACTGAAGCCCAGGCTCACTGTCTACCTTTCACGGAGGCCCAGCCGTGAGAGGACAGAAGAAGGCACGTGGCGAATCATGACAGCTGACAAAGAGAAGGACAAAGACAAAGAAAAGGACCGGGACCGTGATAGGGACCGGGAAAGAGAAAAGAGGGACAAAACAAGAGAGAGTGAAAACTCCCGACCTCGTCGAAGCTGCACGTTGGAAGGTGGAGCCAAGAATTACGCAGAAAGTGACCACAGTGAAGATGAGGACAATGACAATAACAGTGCCACAACAGAGGAGTCTGCAAAGAAGAGCAAAAAGAAGCCTCCGAAAAAGAAATCTCGTTATGAGAGGACGGATACTGGGGAGATAACATCGTTCATTACTGAAGATGATGTTGTCTACAGACCAGGAGGTGAGAAACATAACATTTTTATCTCCCACATATTTGTAGGTGTCAAAATTTTAGGTAAAGGTTATGTAACTTAATAGGGGATAAAAAGAACAATGGAAAACTCACAGAGTTTCATTTTTAACCAAAACCCTTAATTCAGAAACCTTAACATATCTATCTTCTCCATGTTTTCAGAAATTTCATAGAATTTCAGTATTTTCAGAGCTGGAAGGGACCTGAGAGTTCATCTTCTCTAACTGCTTTGTTTTGTATATTGAGGAAAATGAGGCCCAAAGAGATAAAATGACTTTTCTAGATTCTATAGCTAGTAATTGATATATTATGAGTAAGGATTTGAAGCTCAGATCCTTCAATTTAAAGTCAATGGTAACAGCTAAACTGTTTGGGTCTTTGGTATGTTGGCTCTGAGTAACCAATAGAATGTTAACAATACACTGCTCATCAACAGATTATTAATCAAAAACTTCAAAGGGCAACCATGAAAGCAAGTCATGGAATCTCACCATTCTTTGGTGGGTTCTTTATTTGTTTTTCTTAATGTGCTCTGTGTGAATATTATAATATTCATATTATATATATGTATATGTATATGCATATATGTGTGTGTACATACATACATATACATATATACACGTATACTTTTGATTTTTGAAGCCAGGAAACTAGCAAGGATGGTTTTATTTGAATTTCTAATGTTACTGATTAGTGGGATTTACATAAGCTTCAATTCATTGTATTAGAAGCTGGGCTACATTTAGTCCTTTTGGAAGTGAAAGCAGCATGGATATGTTTTTATCAGTAATCTGTCTTGATAGCATTATTAGAGAATACCACAAACATTGAGTGATTCAGCTAAGGTTCTCTGATAAAGGCCTCATTTCTCAAATATCTAGGGAACTGAGCCAAATTTTTAAAAATAAGAGCAGTTTTTCAGTTGAGAAATGGCCAGTTTTAAGAGGTTTTAAGAAGAATAAATCAGAGCTTTCAATAGTCATGTGAAAAGGTGCTCAAAATCACTAATGATTAGAGAAGTGCAAATTAGAACAACTCTGAGAAGAATGATAAATGCTGCAGGGAGTTGGGAAAATTGGGGTGCTTTTCATGTATTATTTCTATTATGTTTTATAACGTATTACGTGGTTGGTGGAGTTATGAACTGATGCAGCCATTCTGGAGAACAATTTGTTTTGGTTTTGGTTTGGTTTTTTTTTTTTTTTTGCTAGGCATTGGAGTTAAGTGACTTGCAGTCACGCAGTAAGCTTCAAATGTCTAAGGCTGCATTTGAACTCAGGTCCTTCTGACTCCAGGGCCAGTGCTCTATACACTGCGTCATCTAGCAGCCCGTTGGAGAAGAATTTGAAACAATTCCCAAAGGGCTATAAAGCTGTGCCTACTTTTTGACCCAGCAATACTACTACTAGGTCTGTACTGCAAAGAGATCAAAGAAGATGGGAAAGAACCTATATGTGCAAAACAATTTATAGGAACTCTTTTTTTGTGGTGGTAAGGAATTGGAAATTGAGGGAATGCCTATCATTTGGGGAATGGCTGGACAAGTTGTGGTATTGGATTGTGATAGAATACTATTGTTCTATAAGAAATAACAAGCAGAATGGTTTCAGAAAACCTGCGAAGACTTATATGAACTGAAGCAGAGTGAAGTGAGCACAATCAAGAGAACATTGTGCACAATAATAGCAGTATTGTAACGATGATGAACTATGAGACACTTAGCTACTCTGATCAGTTCAGTGATCTACAATAATTCCAAACGACTTTTGATGAAAAATGCCATCTACCTACAGAGAGAACTGATAAAATCTGAGTACAGACTGAAACTTTTTAAAAATTTTCTTTGTTTCTTGCTTTTTTAATCTTATTTTAAAATTTAATTTAAATTTTTGCCACATGACTAATAGGAAAATATGTTTTGCATGACTTCACATGTATAATTGATATCATAGTGATTGCCTTCTCAATGGGTAGGGGAAGGGCTGGAGGAAGTGAATTTGGAACTCCAAAAAAAAAAAAGATTCAGCTTAAGTATTTGCAAATCAATTTTTCCTTTGAAGGATAGGTTTTAGGATGATGAATTTTTTGATTCATAGCAATTTAAAAAATTTAATGAAAAAATTCACAAGATCTATTTTCTGTCCCTTTTAGTCTTTCTCCCCTTTTCACTATCTTCCTCCTTTCTTCCCTGTATTTGAAAAAAGGAAAAATAAAATCCACATGACAAATAGATGTAGTCAAGGCAAAAAAAAAATCCCTCTTTGGCCTTGTCTAGAGGATGTCGGGAGGAGCTAGGTGGTGCAGTGGATAGAGCACTGGCCCTGAAGTCAGGAGGACCTGAGTTCAAATCCGGCCTTGGACCAAACACTTGACACTTAGTAGCAGTGTGACCCTGGGCAAGTCACTTAACCCCAATTGCCTAAAAGCAAAAAAAGAAAAAAAGATAAATGTCTCACTGTGTATCCATTGGTCCATCACTTCTCTCTCATGAGGTGGGCAGCATGCCTCATCACTGATCCTTCTGAAATCATCACAGGAACTTTTAAAGACTGTCTTGTATGTCAAGAAGATTTCAGGTCTGTGTGAGTGGGGCAATAACCACTGATGATATTATGGATCTTTGTGGAATTGAAGCAACAATCTCCAAGTAGGAATGGGATGTAGAATTGACTAAAGCTAATTCTTAATGCTATTTTGCATTTAGATAATACTTTAGGGTTGACAGAGTGCTGTATTCTAAGCAAGGCAAATCATAGCTATTACAATGTCATGGTCATTTCCTAAATAGGAAAATGGTGCCAGAGATGGAAAAGTTCCTTGTCCATGATCATACAGCTGTCAAGTGTGAAAGTGGAGTTGGACCCTAATCTCCTGATTGCTTGTTCAGTATTATTTCAACCATCAGTGTTACCTTTTGGTCAAGTACTTGACCTTCAGATATAAACATTTGAACTATTATGTGGTGAGAGTTGTGGCTACAGAGAATGAATAAATGCATGTCTTTTATTTTCTTGTATTGATTGTCCTAATTCGAATGTAGCTTTTTTGCTCAGTTCAGTTAAACGCAATTTAACAATTGTAAATTTTGTGCCAAGCACAGTGCTTGGTAGACCTGTGGCCAAAACCAAAACAATCCCTCCATTTAAGGACCTTCATTTTTTGGTGGCAGTGATGATGAATAACACGTATATAGGTAAGTAAATATAGTATATTTACAAAATAGACCAAGTTAATAAAGGGGCCAGGTCTAAGAAGGGGAGGATGATAGTGGCAACTGGGGAATCTCAGGGAAGGCTTGTTTGAGGAGATGACAGTCAAGGTGAGCTATGAAGAGGAGCTGGGCTTCCAAGAGATAAAAGGTTAGATAAAAGAGTAGTCCAGACATGAGGTTATCCAGTGTGCAGTGAATGGTACTGAGGCAGAAGATAGAATGTGTCACATAGGGAAGTACAAAGAGATTAGATTTAAGGAGAGAGTAACAAAATCAGTTTCTTGAACTTTAAGAATCTTACATTATAAAGTCACCACAACAATTTTTTGAAGAAAATTTTTATTGCTAACTTGTTTCTACATTGCCTTTATTTTTCTGTAGTCCTCTCAATTCCACTTACTTGAGAGCTGTCCCGGCTAACAAAGAATCTTTTTTAAAAGAAACGAAGAAAAACAGGTATAAGAGGGGGAAAAAAACCCAGGAAAACCAGTCAGTATATTGAAAAAAGTTAAAAAAATTATCTGCAGTGTTCTGTTCCCTCTGCCTGTTCTTAGGAATGAGGGGAGATGTCATCTTTGGGGTTATGCTCTTGTTGTAAATTTTCAGCGTTTACCTTTGATTATTTTGTCATTATTGCCTGCATTGTCTTGCCTCTACTCAATTTACTTTGTATCAGATCGTGCAAATCTTTCCATATTTTTCTGGATCCATCATATTTATCATTTTTTCCAGCATACTAATCTTCCATTGCATTCACGTACCACTTTATTCATTTCCCATTCGTTATGTATAGATAGACTTTGTTTCCAGTTCTTTGTTGCCAACAAAAAGTGCTTCTGTAAATATTTTGTTATGTATGGAATTTTTCTTTTCTTATTAACAGTGTCTTTGCCTAGTAGTGGAATCTCTGGGTTAGGAATAAGGATGTTTTAACCACTTTAATTGCACGATTCCAGTTGTGGTCCAGAATGGGTGTGCTAATTCACAACTCCATCTCCTATACGCAGGGTAAGGAAAAGGGGCTTGATGTAGAAGTCATTTGTAGAAAGTTCAGAGTCGGTATGTTTCTGAGCTGAGCTTTCTCCTTAATTGGAAGTTTGGTGTTCATGGTCCCACCTTCCAGTCCCAGGAAAGAAGGGTAATGATGAGGAAGAGAACCAAGGCTGATGAGATTTTACAGGATAATGAAATTATTCCAGTAATGAACTTCCAGGGGAGTGCTGAAGTCAGTAGCTTAGGTAAGCTTGGAAGTAGTAAAGTGTTAAAAAATTTTTATTAGTGTTCTGAGAGTCTTAACACAGTAAACTCCTCTGTACAATAGAAGTGTAACATTCTTACCCAGGTGAAACTGTGAAAGATGGGAGTGATTGGATTCGACTTAGTTTAGTGAATTTTAAATTTCATAAAGTATAATTGTCCTGGGATGAAATGTTGCCAACCTGGTAGGAACTTCACATAGCATAGTATTTGGTAAGAGTTTTGCAGATAGTGTTTTCATCATTGGGCTTGATTGACTTAGTAAATCACTCAAATTTGTCATTTATTCTTTCTTTTCCTTGTGTCACACACATTTGTGCAGCCTCCACAGAGCCCCATTCTCATGCTTCATCCTGGTGTGGAGATTATTTGTTTTCCTGGCTTCTATGCCAGTGGGCCACAAGCCCAGGCACATTCTACCGTTCAGGTACTGTTTAAGTACTATCCTGGCAAAAGATCATCTTTGCTTTTTGAGGGCTACTAAGTACAGAAGTGTTCCTTACCATTAATCTTACCACTT